CCTGGACCCGCCCGCTGGCTGCGCCTTGCGGGGGACGGATTCTTCCCAGCCCCCACCTCTCCTTCCCCAGGGTCTCCCGGCAGGGTTTGCGCCCTCCCCAGGTGACCGCACGTTACTCGCTGCCGCCTCTCCTTGTGGAGGTCCTAGTTCCCCTGCCCCCTCCCTCTCGGGGACCCCGGCACCAGGTGTCTCTTTGCCTCTTAATTCCAGGCACCTCTCAGGACAGGTGCAGGAAAGTGTAACCTTGACCGGGTCTCGGTTGTGTGGGAGGGTAGCACTCTGGACTCTGCCGGGGTGACTCCCCTAAGACCAAACTCCAGCAAGGAACCCCAGAAGGGGGCTACCTCCCCTTCACTTCCCAAAGGGCTTTCTCCCAAGGTTGGTACCAGGGGTCCTTTGACCCTGTGAAGGGCAGAGGAGTTGCAGACAGGTGAAAGAGGGCAACTTCCCTTTCTTTCTGTCCCTCTCCAGTTAAGCAAAGTGGGCAGTGGAAGCCACAGCCCCAGAATAATGCTGGGACTGAGGCTGTGCCCGGTCCCCCGGGGAAGAGAGAAGGGGCCCGAGCTTGACAGGTCTTATGTAACAGGCACCAGCTCCCATATTGGCAGTGCGTGCCCTGCCCCGTGCCAGGGCCACACCAGGCACTTGGCTGCAGCCGGGACTCATGGCTGACCCTCACCGCACAGGTGAAATAAGCAGGAAAGCCCTTGACCGTGGTCTTGAGTGTGGAGACACAGACCTCAATCAGGCTTTCCTACTGCTGGGGTGTCCAGATGCTGGCTCCGCATTAGTCCCGGGAGGGTTCCAGCCCCACTCCTGCACTGGAAGGTGAATGCTGCCTGTTTACTGCTGGTGGAGGTGGCATCTGCTCTCTAGCAATGCTTGCTACTGAGTTGAAACCGAGTTTGCTGATGGCTGAGTGGAAGGAAGCCCTGGATTCAAACTTTCTCAACTCTTGGCACATGTGTCCCAGCGTAGCAGCTGGAGTCTTCCTTCTCTCACCCCAAGAATGAGAGGCTGGCTCCCACCTTCTCCAGCCCTGTCAGCCCTGAGGTAGGATTGTTTGCCCTGTAAGAAAGGTCACTCTGGGGACATTTTGTTCCTCTCTGGAATGGAAAGTGCTGACTTTCCCTGGAGCTCCTGATTTCCTATATCTGGCAGAGGAGTATCTGGCTGGACATGGAGCAGCCCTACTGTCCCCTCCACTGCTGCCCCCTGACTGCTGTTGTCCACCTGCCTTCTACAGAGAGCACTTAGAAACTGTCACGTGGCTTTGAGCTAAGGGCATTTTAGACAAAGACACTGACACCCCCATCGGTTAAAAAACAAAACACACAAAAAAAACAGAGGGTTCGAATGATGCCTTAAAGGAGCCTCTCCCATCGCCCCACCCTCCGAGCCAGTAGAAGCATTAGATTCTCAAAGATAGGATCATGGGTGATGAAATCTTCTTGCCCCTCACTCTGCTGGCTCGGAATTAAGTATCTGCAGCTTTTTAAAACACCGCAGAAAGTTCCTCTGTAGTCAGATGACTCCATTTTTCCATTTCCCCTCCCCCACTAATGCTGGGTGACTTGTTTCAGCTGAGGGCCTGCTTTGGTGGACATTGACATGGTCATCAATGGTAGAATGCTTTGCCTCTACAGCCTGCTTAGACAGGTGTCAACTAGGCACAGGGTAAAAACTAATAAGGCACTAACAAAACTAGGTGTTTAAGAGTGGTCATTTTGTTGTGGGCAAGCTTTATCGCTTAGTTCCGAAAGGGCAACATGGAGACTTGTAGCGTTTTTGGTTGGGCCCTGGGAGTCCATCACCAATTCTACCAGAAAGTGCTCAGAAGGTCTTTGTCCCAGGAAGTTATCTCTGTGATGGCCCTCTTGCTGGCCTCACTGTCAGGCCAGATTCAAATGCCATTTGGGGCTGTACGCTGCCAGCCCTAGCAGAGTTCTTCGAGGATGCTTAAACCCCACCTGGGGCCAGTCAGCCTCTCTCTCTAGCTGCAGGTTTAAACCAGGTCTCCTGTGTGGGTATATTTTCTTCCCTACCTGTTCATGCGAGACCTGACAACTGGCCAGGGAAGGGATCCTCTTACTTGTGAAATGGGCAAGGCAGTTCTTGAGAAAAGCCCTCCTTCAGCCTGCTCCTCCCCACTCCACCCCCCCTTGAGCTGACAACCTCATGGGCTTTGAGCTGCTGACAGCCTCATAGGCTGTCAGCACACGGCATGAGTAATTTTAGCTGAGTTATTTCAGGCTCCTGTTCTGATCGGGGTTGAGCTGGCCCCACGCATGCCCCAGCCAGTGTTTCTCCAGAGTTGCGTGCTCCCAGGTTCCCTCCCAGAGCGAGTGGGGGTGGCAGACTCATCTGCATACTGTTTCTTTAACCCTTTGAGCCTGAAGATTTTCTGACTCCTTGGAGGTATGCCCAGGATTAGCCAAGAGGCCTTGACAAACAATACTCAGAGTCCTTGATCGATCGAGCACCTGTTCTCTCTCCAGCCTCCTCACCAACCTCCACAATAGGGACAAGAGCAAGAGTGGCACCTTCAGCCACACACTTGCCTCTGCTGGCCTAATCTGCCATCTCAAGGATTCCCAGCCATGGCCACTCAGGATGTTGAAACCTGAGCCAGGCAGGGAGGATTCTCCCAGCCTTTAATCAGCCCTTAGGAGCTGAGCTCAGCTAGAAGGAATTCCACCTGTCTCTGACAATTCAGAATGGCAGGCTGACTTGAGTTTTCCCCAGCTGAAGACCGAAACTCAGGGTGTTTGTCATTTAACTTTGCAAAGCCTCCTTGAAGTACCTATTGTGACAGCTACTTTATATATTGGACATCTAGGAGTACAAATATGATTAATTCGAGATAGTGCCCAGATTTGGGACTTGGAATTTCTGGTAGCCAGGAGTCAAATATGCACCCAGATAGATGTATGAATTTCTATTTTCCACTGTAATATAAAATGAATAACTTAAACATGGGGGGATACACAGTCAATAAAAGCGAAGTCCTGAGGAATATTCTTGCATCCCTCAATCCTCTTCCCCACAAGGCACATAGACTAAGGCTGAAGAGAGAATAATATGTGTGGTCTGCTGCTCATAGCTCCACCTGGCAGAAAGTTGCCTGAAAGCTTAGCACAGGCTCAGCCTCACTGAATCCATCTTACATGCCATGTGTTCTTTACTTACAGAATTCTAAGAACGTCCAGGGTCTGGCTGGTCTTCGAAACCTTGGGAACACGGTGAGTTCCTCCCTGCCCACTTCTTCCCCAGGGCCACCCCCTACTATCCTGACTGGGACAGTATAACTAGGGTCCCTCACTGGCTCCAGCTGACTCCCTATCTGATAAGCCAGTTGGTACCTGCCCTTTCCTGGCTGGTGTTTCTCAGAATTGCTGGGCTCTGTTTGACCCACCCCAGCAGGAAATACTGCTGAAGGGGAGTTGCCCTTTGAACCGTCATCTCGCTCCTCTCCTGGATCCTTCTCCTCAGGGACACCATCCCTTCCCGCCTACTTCTTTCGAGCCCATCCACACCCTTTTGCACACCTGTATGGTAAATAGTGATGTCACCTGTGCCTGGAGTGGGAGTTTGCCTCACTTCACCCTTTCACTTGTGAAAAGAGGAACTTGAGACCATGAGAGGATTCATCGTGTCTGGACAGATGAACCAGAGGGCCTTTGATACTAAGCCATAGAGATGCCAGGTGGGTTCTCTCCTCCCCCGCTGACTATTGACCATCCCTTGCAGTGCTTCATGAACTCGATTCTGCAGTGCCTGAGCAACACCCGGGAGCTGAGAGATTATTGCCTCCAGAGGCTGTACATGCGGGACCTTAACCATGGCAGCAGTGCGCACACAGCCCTCATGGAAGGTAAGGAGTTGTGTTTCAGATGCACCTGTCCTGTTTTTCTTTCTTTCCTTTTTCTTGGGATTCTAGTTTCAGAGTTTCTTACAGAAAATATCTTACCTGTCTTCTACATCCCCTCTCTGCCCTCTCTTTCCAACAGAGTTTGCAAAACTAATCCAGACCATATGGACCTCATCCCCCAACGATGTGGTGAGCCCATCTGAGTTCAAGACCCAGATCCAGAGATATGCACCACGCTTCGTTGGCTATAAGTAAGAGTTTTGCAGACGGGTCCTCCTCAGAGCGGGCAGCAGCGAGAACAAGTTCTTGGGAAAAGAAGTGTTGCTCACTCTCTCTTCTGTGGTTTCAGTCAGCAGGATGCTCAGGAGTTCCTTCGCTTTCTTCTGGATGGGCTCCACAATGAAGTGAACCGAGTAACACTGAGGCCCAAATCCAACCCTGAGAACCTTGATCATCTTCCGTAAGTAAGAGGAGAATGCTCTGAGAAAGCAAGACTTTTGTAACTTGAGCTTTCCCCCACCCTACTTTTTGGGGAGTAATGATTTGAGGAGAGTCCAACTTACTCTTGAAGATTAAGAATCCAGATTGAGGCCGGGCTCAGTGGCTCAGCCTGTAATCCTGAGCTTTGGGAGGCCGAGGTGAGTAGATTGCCAGAGCGCACGGGTTCGAGACCCGCCTGGGCAACTTGGCGAGACCTCATCTCTACAATAAATCAAAAATTAGCCGGGCGTGGTAGCGTGCACCTGTAGTTCCAGCTACTTGGAAGGCTGAGGCAGAAGGATCGCCAGAGCCCAGCAGGTTGAGGCTGTGGTGGCTGGGAGTGTGCCACTGCACTCCAGTCTGGGCGACAGAGTGAGACTCCAACTCAAAAAAAAAAAGAATCCAGATTGGCCGGGTGCAGTGGCACAAACCTATACTTCCAGCACTTTGGGAGACCGAGGGGGGAGGATTGCTTGAGCCCAGGGGTTCGAGACCAGCCTGGACAACTTGATGAGACCTCATCTCTACAATATATCAAAAAAAATTAGCCAAGTGTGGTAACACACACCTGTAGTTCCGGCTACTTGGAAGGCTGAGGCAGAACGATCACCTGAGCCCAGCAGGTCAATGTTGGGGTGACCATGAGTATGCCACTGCACACCAGCCTGGGCGACAGAGTGAGACTCTGACTTGGAAAAAAAAATCTGGATTGACCGACCCTTTAAACTCATCGTGGCTTGAGGTCTGACACAACTGTCTTTCTCTTTGTGGTTCCCAGTGATGATGAGAAGGGGCGACAGATGTGGAGAAAATATCTAGAACGGGAAGACAGTCGGATTGGGGGTAAGTGCACAGCTGGGAAGAATGCCTGCTTTCATTGTTGCCTACTTTAGCCTGAGCAGAGCACGAAAAGCCTGAAAAATCATTCTCCCAGGGAGCCCTGTTTCTGCCCAGAGTCTAACAAACTGAGGCAGGAGCAGGGAGAACAACGACACTGTGCAGAAGACCATGTTCTCACTTCCTGGGCTGCAGTATTTCATGGCCTTCTCTTTCCTAGATCTCTTTGTTGGGCAACTAAAGAGCTCCCTGACCTGTACTGATTGTGGTTACTGCTCTACAGTCTTCGATCCCTTCTGGGACCTCTCACTGCCCATTGCTAAGGTATACACCCCAGTAAGACCCCCTTTGGAACCCCCTCTCCTATCTTTTCATGTTGTTGACCTCTAACCTTTCCTTTTTTTCTCTCCCAGCGAGGTTATCCTGAGGTGACATTAATGGACTGCATGAGGCTCTTCACCAAAGAGGATGTGCTTGATGGCGATGAAAAACCAGTAAGTGATAGCAAGAATAACTGTCCCTGAGACCTGTCTGGGAAGATGCTGACACCAGCAGACCCAGCTGAGCAGCTACTGGATTTGGACCCAGTGTCTTCCCCGGTGGTTTTTCTAATTCTGTTTGTCTTGTCTTTAGACATGCTGTCGCTGCAGAGCCAGAAAACGATGTATAAAGAAGTTCTCCATCCAGAGGTTCCCAAAGATCTTGGTGCTCCGTATCCTTATGAACTATCAGGGCAGGGACTTTTGAGGGTGACTGATGACAAGGGGCTAAAAGACAAGGGGAACAGACTGAGAAAAAAGCTGAACTTGTAGCCTTTCCTTTTGTTTACTTTTCCGCTTCCTGAGAAAAGTGCAGTTGGCTATTTAGACCTCAGTCTCTTTTCGTTTGACTTTATTCTTAGACTCTGCCCTTGACTCACGTTAATCCCAGATCTGAAGCGGTTCTCAGAATCCAGGATACGAACCAGCAAGCTCACAACATTTGTGAATTTCCCACTAAGAGACCTGGACTTGAGAGAATTTGCCTCAGAAAACACCAGTGAGTATCTTCAGCAGGAAAGACAGAATCCAGGCCCAAGTGTGTAAGCTGCATATGGGAGGGAAGGAAGCCTGCAACTGACTTAGGAAAAGTTGGGAATGAGAGGCTGGAGGGAGGGGAGGGCAAAGGATGCCTCGGTGGCTTGACACCTGCATCTCCTCCTCAGACCATGCTGTTTACAACCTGTATGCTGTGTCCAATCACTCCGGAACCACTATGGGCGGCCACTATACAGCCTACTGTCGAAGTCCAGGAACAGGCGAATGGCACACTTTTAATGACTCCAGGTGAGAGCAGAGTCTCAGACGGGCTCCTGGCTGTAGACACCTGCACCTCCCTCATCTGCATGGCTTCCACCTTGAATGGACAGTCAGAACCACAAAGCTTCCTGCCCACTTGGAGGCTCTCTGAAAGACAAGAGGTTGGCTTCAAGGGTACAGTGGAGAGGTTAGGGAGGGACCTCACGCTTCCTCGGCCACTCAGCTCTGGGTGCCGCTGGCCCCTCACCAGTGCTGACTCTCCCCATTCTTTCCACAGTGTAACACCCATGTCCTCCAGCCAAGTGCGCACCAGCGACGCCTATCTGCTCTTCTACGAGTTGGCCAGTCCGCCCTCCCGTATGTAGCAGCGAGGAGCTACATCCCTTCTCCCTCCCCAGTGGTGGCCCCACACCCCAAGTTTTTTCAAAAGACAAAAAAAACCAACAAAACACAAAACAAAAACAAAGAAACCTTGGCAAATAAGAGAAAGACCTAAAACCGCCGAGCAGGAGTTGATGCAGCCTGGTCAGGGTACGGCGCGAGGAGCCGGGAGCTCCTGAGTCACACCTGGCAGGGAAGATCGACAGCATGGAGGCCAGAGTCAGCCAGTGCTCCCTCGGCTTTTCTTGTTTGCATTTTTAAGCTTGTGGTTTTTTCCTGTGTGTAACGAACAGCGGCCTGTGGGGAGAAGATCCTTGTGGGCCTGCTGCCCTCTCTAGCCCTTGCACCTTCTGAGAGGACAGCGCCCTCTGGAGCCTGCTGGGAGCATCACTGCCTGGACACGCCGCACCACAGAGGAGCCAGGCACCCCACCTCCACCTGGATCTGCTTGCCCGTCCAGAACACGGAAACACCCATGAGCCAAGAGCCCTCTTAACGCTGCTAACTCCAGGGGACAGACAGGGAACGTCTTTGGAAAAAGCTGGTTTTTGGTTTTTAAAAGCCCAACTTTTTTTTTAAGCCTCCATAACTAAAGTTTTCAGACTGGAGATTGCTCTCCTTCAGACCTCTTCACAGCTGGGACGTTGTACTGGTCCTTTACTGGTCTTTTTTTTTTTTTTCTTCAAGAAAAACTTTTCTAATGCTAGCCCCCCGTGGTGCTAGGTGGGTGTTGGCCAGGCCCCAAGCACAGCCACAGTAGACCTGGGATCTAAAACAAGTTTGTTGCTTTCTGTTGTTGCTGTTGTTTAATGTTTTGGATGGAATCTAGTTGCCTCCAAGAATTGTGCCTTATAGCATTTGGGGACCAGGGGGTAACTGCCCCTCCCTGAAATATCCCACAGCCTCTTTCCTTTTCCCCAGTGCCATGTTCACACCTGCTGGGGGAAGGGGTCCTGCCCTTAGCCCCTGGCTTGTTGTGCATTGCAGTGAGGCCAAGGGGAAAGTAGGTAAAAGGAGATTTCTTATGACAGTGTATTGAGTTCTTCCCGCCCACCTCCTCTGACCCAGCCCTGGTCTGCTCCTCAGCTGTTTGAAGGATAGCACAGCCCCATATGCCTAGAGCTTCTCTCACCTTTTATTTATTCTCTTCTCACATCCCTTTCTCCCTGGCCTTCCCACCACCCCTGCCCCCTTCTCAGAGCCTCCTAGACATAGGCCCTTTGGACCGAGTTTCTCAGGGATGCCCAGGCTGCCCCTCAGTTCCTCTTGGTGTTGGTCTTCAGTACTACCTTGAGAGCTGAAGTCTGGGTATTTGGGGACATCTTGCCTCAGTTGTATGGTTCTTTCCCATGGGCTCAATTTTGCCTAAGCAGTGGGACAAAACTCTGCTTTCCCAGAGAGTAAAGCTCTTGAGCACTGAGGACTGGAGTACTGTGCCTGTGCACACCCACACAGCTGGGCCTGGCTTGTGCCCCGTGGAGCCTGGTACATTCCAGGGCTCCCAGGAGGAGGCATCAGAGAAAGACACCCTGAGTTTAACTGGACTGACACCCTTCTCCAGGGAAGACCTGTGAACCTGAGCCCAAGGGCAGACGTACACTTGTTTACTATGTAAACAAGAGTAGAAGAATGTCTAATGTACAGTGGAACCTTGTACAGAATAAATAATAGCTTTGAGAAATAAGCAGGTAAATGATGGAATCATGATTTGGGAGGGGTTTTAATCCAGGAGGGGTTTCTGACATATTAGTGGCCATCTGTTTCATTCATTGTTTCAACCAGCTTGTAAATTCCAAGTCCTGGAAAAGTTAACTACCTAATTTTTAGTTTAAATTTTTCAATTCTATTTTAAAAAGCTGAAATAGTACACATTTGGGGCACTAAACTCTCCATCTGGATTCACCAATTTTTGGGTTTTTTAATGATGGAGTCTCCCTATATTGCCTAGGCTGATCTTCAACCCTTCACTGCCCAAAGTGCTGAGATTACAGGTGTGAGCTACCAAACCTAGTCTGGATTCACCAGTTATTAACTTTTTCCCATGTTTATATATACAGTCATCCCTCAGTATACATGAGGAGATACACACACACCAAAATCTATGCATACTTGGGTTTCACATCTTGTGAATACTATATTTTCTATCTGCAAGTTGTTGGGGAAAAAAAAAAAAAGATCTGTGTAAAATTGGACCCACACAATTGAAGCCCACGTTGTTAAAGAGTACTTTATTCTTTGGGTCAAAACATTTATGGGTGGGAAGTTATATCACCACTTCTAAATACCTCAACATCTCCTAAGAATCAGGACCCTATATGTGTTCACACCTAGGAAAAGTGACCCATCTAATATACATTTCTTTTTCCTTTTTTTTTTTTAGTGTCTACTCTTTTGGAAATTGGAACTGGCAATCAATCCTAATACACATTTCTTTAAGTGACCTGTCTACTTCTTAGCTGCTGGCGTGAGCTAGTCTCTCGGTTCTTTGTTGAAACCCTTGGATGCCTATACAGTCCTACCATGAGCTAAAACAGGTCTCTCCAGCAGAATTTACTCTTAGGGCAGAGTGGCTTTACGTTTTTCTATTCTATTTTTAAAAGCTGAAATAGTACACCTTTGAGGCACTAAATTCTCCATCTGGATTCACCAATTTTTTTTTTTAAATGATGGGGTATCACTGTTGTGTAGGCTGATTTTCAACCTCTCATCTCCCAAAGTGGAGTGAATAGGCTTGGTTTTCAGTCAATGAATGACCTCAGCTTTCCCCCCTAATTCTTAGAAACAGCTACTTTTGTATGAAAGTGCTTTTTTTTTCAAGACTTCAGACTTAAGTTAAACAGGTTAAGTTAAAGAGATTCCTTCTTTGGTATACTCAGGGATTGTGTCTCCTTTGGTTTTATCTCTTCATCACAGGTATTGCTTTTCTATTTCTACCACTGGCCTTAGCACAAGGGAAGTAGAAGTTTCTACCAGGTGAACCTTTCATGGGGATTCTTCCTCACTGCCTTCACTGCTCAAGACCCTGAAAAATCAAGGCCTAACTATTCCATCCTTGCAGAGACAGAAGCACCTGCTGTCATTCGGGGTCCGTGTGCTACTGTCAAACCTACCTGGTGGAGGGGGATAGTCGCAGGGACATTTTCCTGGACATTTCCCAAGTGGAGAAGGGGAATTGGAAAAAAAAAACAGTGACTCAAAACCTAGAATTTCTTCCTGAGGAACTCAACTTCCCTGGCCTGCCTTGGAGTGGCCTGACAAGTAATATTTTAAATGCTGATCTTTACCCCCAAGCCACAGGTGAGCAGGATCCTTTTTTTTTTGAGTTGAACTCTCATTCTGTCGCCCAGACTGTAGTGCAGTGGCATGCTCCCGGTCACTGCTGAGCCTCGACCCGCTGAGCTCCAGCGATCCTTCCACCTCAGCCTTCCAAGTAGCTGGAATTATAGGCACGTGCTACCACACCCGGCTAATTTTTTATTTATTGTAGAGATGAGGTCTCACCAAGTTGCCCAGATAGGTCTCAAACCCGCGGGCTCAGGCAATCCACTCGCCTCACCCTCCCAAAGTGCTGGGATTACAGGCTGAGCCACTGAGCCCGGCCAGGAGCCTATTCAAAATGGAAACATCAGGCTTGGAGCAAAGTGAACGGGTATGCCCTGGTTCAGATCGATTACATTGCTATACCTCTCCCTTGACTCGTTTTTCACTGGAGGTAGAAGCCACACTGTGCATTTTTGTGTCTTCTACTGGAGAACATACAGACTCATACATTAAGGACAAGGGCTCAGCTCGGGCACTTTTGCTCCCAGCTCTTCCATACTTAACCTGTGGTGCTTCCTCGTCCCTATGGCAACAGATCCTAATGTTACATAGATGGCAAACACAGGTCTGTCCCCACATTTCTCTGTCCATCAAGCTTTGCCTCCTAGCAACTTGGCTTTCTTCCCTCATTCTTTGCTTGCATTCCAGCAGGACTCTCTAGGGGAGGGCTCCCCTGCAACTGCCCTTGTGTGACCTTGGAAAAAAAACCTCCCTCTTTCTGGGCCTTAGTACCTCATCTGTGAATTATTGGGATTGGACAAGTGGATCTTAAAGGTCTCTACCCAAGTGTTATCATTCATTCTAAGTAACTTTCTTCTGAACACATGCTCAAATCCCAAGTTAGGGAACTTACATACCTTTGGTTCTCTGATTCCAGTTTATACGGTTAATTTTTTTTAAGTAACCAATGCACAAAAAAATACTCATTTCTTTCTATAAAGATTTAGAGTTCAGATCGCAGAGGTCACCTTGTCCCATTTTGGCAGTGAGGATACTGAGCCCTAGAGAGGGCTTGCTCAAGGCCACATAACCTGGCAGGGGCAGAAGCAGTATGGAACACAGGTATGACTCCCTACCCACTTCTCTCCATCTGAGTACTCTGCCTTTGGGTTGACAAATTTACAGCATTTTGCAGAACTTTCTACAGTAAATTTTTCAACTCTGCATCTATTAGGAACTGAGCTGAACAGCAATGTAACATTCACACATGTCCAACAGCAAAACCAGCATGATCTGCCTCCTACTTGGGCCCTGACTGGGCACCTCCAAGGTTCCCCACCCTTCATTGCTCTATGGGCAGAAACAAGCACCTGTGCAGGACACAGGAGGCAGCAGAAGAGACTAGCAGAAGAGACTATAGTCCAGATAAATTATTTAACCTCTCCGAGCCTCAGTTTCCTCATCTGTAATCTTAGCATAACAATACCTATCTAAAGTTATGGTGATCCTTAGCAAATGTTTAATTCTCTTGGCCTCTCTGGATGTTTCTGCCTTCTTTTCCTGAACGACATACTTGATATATGCTAAGTATAGCACTGCCCAAACTCAACAGAAATAGTGAGGGAAAGCCACTAAACAGGCATTGCAAAGCCAAGGGATGAGTGTTTCCAGTTTCCTGATACTTGGGGTGATCTGCCTCTTGGGGAGAGTGAAGGGAACCAGGGAACGAGATCAAGGCCAGCAGGCGGCAGTGATCAAGGAGGAGATTTGGTGGGGAAGGTCAGGGGGTAATGCACACTTTTTTTTTTTTTCGGGTTGGAGTCTCACTCTGTCACCCAGACTGGAGTACAGTGGCCGCTCCCAGCCACCGCAGCCTCGACCTGCTGGGCACCAGTGATCCTGCCGCCTCAGTCTTCCAAGTAGCTGGAACTACAGGCGTGCGCTACCACGCCCGGCTAATTATTTTTTTTTTTTTATTGTAGAGATGAGGTCTCGCCAAGTTGCCCAGGCGGGTCTCGAACCCACGGACTCAGGCAATCCACTCACCTCAGCCTCCCAAGGCACGGGATTACAGGCTGAGCCATCGAGCCTGGCTAATGCACACTTATAATGCTGGCCCTGGGAGCAAGGAGAAGGAAGGGCATTGCAGATCAGAGGAAGATGGAGAGGCAGGGTGAGCACAATGTGTTCCAGGGACAATGAAGGGGACAGTATGGCTGGAGTGGAAAGTTTGACTTGGAGCACTAGCCCGAGGGAAAGCCGAGAGCTGGACTCCTATAACATAACTGACCTCAAACTGGCCTTACCCTACCTGCTGGCAGGAGGGCCACAGAGGGTCAAGGAGGGCAAACCAAGGATGAGGTCAGCATGGGGGTGTGAGCGTGCCACTGCACTCCAGCCTGAACGACAGAGTGAGACTCCAACTCAAAAAAAAAAAAAAATCCTTTTCAACCCTTAAGCTTTGGACTAAAGGCCCACCTCTTCCTGGAAGTCCTCCTGTGTGCCCCCATGAGAGGAAGTCATTGCTTTTCTGTTTACACAGCATTTGATCTCTGGCCTTACAACTCAGTAAACTGTCATTGTGTCTGTCCATTAAATCATAGCTCTCAAAGGACCCCTTTACATTCTTAAAAGTTATAGAGAACATCAAAGTACTTTCGTTTATGTATTAATAGGTTATATCTACCAACATTCACCAAGTTAAAACAGAAATTTAAATATTTTCTTATTTTTAAACAATAAAGTTTAAAACAATAAATCCTTTACATACTAGCAAAATTTTTTTTTTAGTTTTTAAGAAAAATAGCCAGGCTCAGTGGCTCAGCCTGTAATCCCACACTTTGGGAGGCCGAGGCGAGTGGATTGCCTAAGCCTACTGGTTCGAGAGCAGCCTGGGCAACTTGGCGAGACCTCGTCTCTACAATAAAACAAAAATTAGCACACGCCTGTAGTTTCGACTACTTGGAAGGCTGAGGCAGAAGGATCACTGGAGCCCAGCAGATCGACACTGGGGTGGCTGTGAGCATGCCACTGCACTCCAGCCTGGGCGACAGAGTGAGACTCCAACTCAAAAAAAAAAGAAGAAAAAAAAATCTATATTTTCAAAAAAAAAATGAGTAAGAAGGACACTCAAATCCTCTACAAGATGTCCCTAGGCCCCACTTTTTTTGTTGTTTGTTTATTTGTTTTTTTACTTTCCCTATATTACTTATTGTTGTACACTCAAAATGGTAAGTAGAACCTAGGCCCCACTTTGAGAACCACTACGCGAGTCCAGGGACTGCTTGAGGCAGGGCGCCTTGTTTTGGTCGGCTTGGTGAGACCAGCGCCCAGCCAGCATCCGGCAAACAGTCTCGCAATGATCAAGTCAACACATGGCCTCAGAGCGGAGGAGCCCCCGGGGCACAGCTCTCCTAAGTGGCCACCCTCCAAGTTCAGCCCAAGGCCATGCTCTTCATGGCACAGCACCTAGGCCCAGGCTCTTAGCATACAGTGTAACAGTGAGTCCTGTTCAGTCTTGGTCCAACCAGAACGGGAAGTACCTCATAGTCAGGGACTGTCTTATCTTCTTCAAGAACACTTGTTCCTACAGCTACCAAAAAGTGCCTTCCCTAAAGACCAAGCACAGCTAGACATCCAAGTGTCCAGGAAAAGGCTTGACCTCTAGACAAGTGCAGCCCAGGGCCCTCCAGGGGCAAATGGAGAACTTGGGGGTAGGGAATCTCCCTTCCTGAGTACAAGGATAGCTGTCTTAGGATCACAGAATCTGTCTCCTTTGCTTCTTCTGTCCCCATAGAGTCCCTCAATTTGCTCTCCTATGTCACTCCGACCCCTTTGCTCCCCTAACATGCCTCAGTCCCAGTGTAGGTTGAAAGAGGTATGTCATAGAAAACACATGCGTAACCAGGCTCGGTGTCTCAGTCTGTAATCCCGCGCCTTGGGAGGCTGAGGTGAGTGAATTGCCTGAGCCCGTGGGTTCGAGACCCACCTGGGCAACTTGGTGAGACCTCATCTCTACAATAAATCAAAAAATCAGCCGGGCGTGGTAGCGCGCACCTGTAGTTTCGGCTACTTGGAAGGCTGAGGCAGAAGGATCACTGGAGCCCAGCAGGTCGAGGCTGCGGTGGCCGGGAGCGGCCACTGCACTCCAGTCAGGGCAACAGAGTGAGACTCAAAAAAAAACAACAAAAAAAAACCCACAAACTTACAGCCAGGCGCAGTGGTTCACACATGTAGTCCCAGCACTTTGGGAGGCCTATGCAGGAAGATTGCTTGAGCCCAGGAGTTTGATACCAGCCTGGGCAACATAGCAAGACCCCATTTCTACAAAAAATTTTTTTTAAAAATTAGCTGGGCCTGGTGGCTTGCACCTGTAATGCCAGCTACTCCAGAGGCTGAGGCAGGAGGATCACCTGAGCCCAGGAGTTCAAGGCTGCAGTGAGCTAAAATTGTGCCACTATATTCCAGCCTGGGTGGGTGACAGAACAAGACCCTATCTCAAAAAGAAAAAAAAAGAAAACACGAGCTTAGGATTTATCCAGTTCCAGGTTTAATTCAGGTCTCTGTATCTTACTGGCTGTGTGACCTAAGGGAAGCTGTCAGAACTTTGGCACCATCATTTATAAAATGGTTATGCTACCTTCTATATTTACAAAAGGAGAGAAACCGCATGTAAGACCTCTTGCCCAGACATTCACAACAGACATTCTACAAATCATAGCCAGAAATATCAGGCTGCCACCCCACCTCTTGGCTGCCAAACTCTCAGCCCGAGCCTGGCTAACACAAAACAGATTAACAATCCCTTTCCTTTCTCCCTGAGGACAGGGTAGGATTTTCCAAGAGAACTTCACCCCTGGAGAAAGAGGCATGAAGTAATCTTGTTTGCAGGGTGTAGGATTCCTACCCTGCAACAGCAGACAGCACCAGCAGCTAGACTCCACGCCTCAACCCTGTCCATGACCTAGGGCGACTTCTGTTCCTTCATGATTCTTTCTCCTGAAGGCTGAGAGGTCCCAGGGATGAGCAGCCAACCCTCCAGATCACACCATGTTCTTCCATTATGGCTTCTCGTCTTGTCCTGGTCACACAAGTGATCTTGAAGGGACTTTCCCGAGACACAGGTTGGCTAATGCTCCTGTCAGCCTGATGAAGAGGAATGGAGGGGAAGCAATTGGCTTTGTCCCAAGCCCTTAGGACTCACAGGCCTTGAAGCTGCCACCCCCTGCACCCAGCTTCTCTCTCTCAGACCACCTGAGGCTCTATGCCTGCAATTTTCCCTCTCGCTCAACTCCCTCCAGGTGCTCAGTACCCTGGGAGAGGTAAGGGGGGGTTGGTGAGCTCCCCTGGTCACATCCCCCACAGAGTACCTCGTCTCCTCTGCTTGGTGTTCTCAGCCACCGCCTGTGCCTTTAAGAACTGCCACCCTGTGCCAGGGTCTTGACCTCAGCATCCTCAGCTGAGTTGGATTAAAGGACCGTTTTGTGCCTTTGCAAATTCCTTCTGGCTGCCGTCCCTGCCCCCACATGAAGACAGAGTCGTCCGTAGCCTGACTCAGACTCCCCAGGAGAGTCCAAGAGCTAGTCTAGCTCAGCAGCCTTTCCCCTCGGGGAGTAGAGGCTGCCCATCTGATAGGAGGTTTGTGGTCGGAGTAGGCCCCTGGGGTCTTGGGCTGACAAGGGGACTCCAGAAAGCCATGCAGAGCCTTGGGCCATGAAGGACTACTCAGATGTCATCCTCTGCGTGGAGGCAACAGAGTCAAGCAAGGTAAGGGCCACACAGAGCCACTCTCCCGAGGCCAGCAGGCTCAGGGGACAAGGCGGCCCTCAGCCCTCATGGCTCTCCCTTCCAGACTGAGTTCTGCAATCCTGCCTTCGAGCCTGAGTCAGGACCACCTTGCTCTCCACCAGCCTTCCAGGAGGATGCCAGCAGCAGCATGCAAGCTCCCTGGCATGGTAACCATCCCCAAGGGTAACCAGGGGTGCGTGGAGAGGCCCCCGAAGCCAAGGACGGTGGAAAGGATGTCCAGGAAGGGGTTCTTAAAATCCCACCTGCCGCCCACAGGTCGGCGTCCCCGAGGGCTGCAACCAGACTGCCACTTCTCCTGGCTCTGCGTCCTCTTGCTCGCCAGCCTGCTGCTCCTGCTGCTCGGGCTGCTGGTGGCCGTCATCTTGGCCCGTAAGTATGGGGGCCTGCCCGGGAGGAGGGTTTCACGCTGAGAATCCATGAGCTGCTCCACTCGAGATCTCCACCCACTTGAGATGTTCCCATTGCGGGTGATCGGAGACCAGATAAATTAACAGGCCCCTTCTACCTTAAGAGCTACAAGTGATTAAAGCTGGGTGGGCAGTGCTCCCCCACCTTCACCCCCACAATCTAGCCTGCAGTGGGGAGGAAGCGCCTTCTGGAGCTCAGCCTGGATGCCCAGATGGGGGAGGAAGAAGGTACTCGCCCCGGGATCCAGCCCCTCTGAACGCTGCCCCTCCATCTTCCTGCCTCCAGAGTTGCAGGCTCCATCTCCATCTGGGGTCTCTCACAGCCCGCTGCCCGCCAGAGGCCTCACCACCACCGATACCACCCCTACTGCCGCCACCACCACCTCTCAGGCAACTGGGACCCCTAAAGGGCAGCAGGAGGCAGGCGTGAGCCCCACACCTCAGTCCAGTGAGTGCTCAGGGCAGCTCTTCCTGGAAAGGGGCCCAAGATGGCGGGGTATGGGGGGGGTGGAGGCCAGGAAGAGGCATCTGGAGAAGAGGGTCTCTCTCTTTTGATTTCTGAACTGCAACCTCTGTCTCTGCAGCCTGCGGGGGCCTCCTCTCTGGCCCAAGGGGCTTCTTCGGCAGCCCTAACTACCCAGACCCTTACCCCCCCAACACCCACTGCGTGTGGCATATCCAGGTGGGCACAGACTACGTGATACAGCTCAAGATCGAAGCCCTCAGCACAGAAAGTGTGGCTTCCTGCCTTTTTGATCGCCTGGAAATCTCCCCTGAGCCTGAAGGGCCCCTCCTCAGGTGGGTCCCTCTGTCCTCAGGAGGTCCCACCCCTGTCCTGAACCACCATCTAGAGGGCAGAACCAGGGAGCTGCCACAGGAAGAGCTGGACCAGGAGAAAACTGAGAGACTTGACCTCCGGGCCCAGCTCTTCCACCATCTTGCCGTGTGACCTAAGGAAGATCACTTCCCCTCTCTGATCCCAGTCTCCTAATACATAAAATGGAACTCCTATCTATCTTTCCTGTGAGTAAATACTACAAGGATCACTGTGCAGGTGCTAGGAATGTCAGTGCTCACTGGGAAATCAGAGAAGTCTTTTGGACCCCATCAGCACCCACTCAGGGGTTGAGGATACAGCACTGCAGGACCCAGATGCACTCGGGCCTGGCCGGCCCTGAGCTCAGAGGCACCATCGTCCCCAACCTGGCTTCTTGCAGGGTATGTGGGAGGGTTCCTCCCCCAACTCTCAACACCAACACCAGCCGGCTCCGGGTGGCCTTCGTCTCTGACAGCAGCGTGGAAGGATTTGGTTTCCATGCCTGGTACCAGGCTGTGGCCCCTGGGCACGGTGAGCACCTCCCTACCACGTCCCTGCTAAGGGTGCACTTCCTTCTGCTCCACCACTCCTGGTACTGGCAAGAGGGATGGCGATATGGAGGGTTCCTAACTCCAGATGCCCACCCTCAGGGAGCTGTGCCCACGATGAGTTCCCCTGTGACCAGCTCATCTGCCTGCTACCCGACTCGGTGTGCGATGGTTTTGCCAACTGTGCTGATGGCAGCGATGAGACCAACTGCAGTGCCATGTTCTCAGGTACGGGCCCCGCCAGGTGTGGGATGGACACTCTCTTCAGGAATCAGATCCAGGTAGAGGCTGGGCTCCCCAGCTCTGGCCCAGTCTCAAACCAGGGCCTCCGCCGGCATTCTCTGGCCATTCTTCTGGCCCAGAACTTGTTTCCCCATGGGCGTGGTCAAAACTCTCACTCCACCATCACCACCAGCCCTACTAAAGGGAAGCTCAGATCCTGGCAAGCTCAGGAGCCTTTCCGCCTCTCTACAGGATGTGGGGGGAACCTGACTGGGCTCCAGGGTGCCTTCTCTACTCCCAACTACCTGCAGCAATACCCCCACCAACAGGTAAGTGCAGTGCCCTATGAGGGGGTGGGAGTGCATGCATGGGCACACCTGAGCCCCCAGATGAGTGTGATGGGAGTAGCATGGTAGACACTGCCTTGTACTAGGAAAGGTCAGAAATCAAGTAGGCAGGAGGGGAATATTATTAAGTGCCTACCGTGTACCCAAGATATTCCCACTGTTGGTGATCTGAGACCAGATAATTTTTTTTTTTTGAATTGGAGTCTCACTCTGTCACCCAGACTGGAGTGCAGTGGCATGCTCCTGGCCACCACAGCCTCAACCTGCTGGGCTCTGGCCATCCTTCCACCTCAGCCTTCCAAGTAGCTGGAACTACAGGCGCACGCTACCATGCTGGGCTAATTTTTTATTTCATTGTAGAGATGAGGTCTTGGCAAGTTGCCCAGGCAGATCACGAACCCACGGGCTCAGGCAATCCACTCACCTCAGCCTCCCAAAGTGCTGGGATTACAGGCTGAGCCACCAAGCCCGACTGAGACCAGATAAATTTAACAGGCCCTTTCTGCCTTAAGAGCTACCAATGATGAAAGCTGGGTGGGCAGTGCTTCCCCCAGTCCACCCCCACAGTCTAGCCTGCAATGGGGAAGAAGCCCCTTCTGGAGCTCAGCCTGGATGCCCAGATTGGGGAGGAGAAGTTACTGTGAATTACTCCATCTGTGCCCTCACCCAGCTTTGTACCTGGCATATCTCGGTGCCTGCCGGACATGGCATAGAACTGCAGTTCCACAACTTCAGCCTGGATGCTCAGGACGAGTGCAAGCTTGACTATGTGGAAGTGTATGAGACCAGTGGCTCAGGGGCCCTCAGCCTCCTGGGCAGGTACAGGGGCCAGGGGAGGAGGCATGGCTAACTCCACTCGCACCGTCAGGCATGGGAGGCTCCTGGCATGTCGGCCCAACCTATTCCCCAGCTCCATGCCTTCTGCTGCTCCAAGCCAGAGGTCTCTTCCCTGTCACCCTAAGAAAGGCTTGCTCTTCTCACCTCAGAGCTTTCTCAACCCTCTCCAGGAGGCCCCTTTCCAAATCTTCCCCAACCCTGGTTCTTCCCACCCTGTGAGAGCCATTTCCACCTCCGACACAAACCCTCACTGATTTTGAGCAATTTGTTTAATACTTTTTTTTTAAGTTGGAGTCTCACTCTGTCGCCCAGGCTGGAGTGCAATGGCACACTCACAGCCACCCCAGCGTCAACCTGCTGGGCTCCGGCCATCCTTCCCCTTCAGCCTTCCAAGTAGCGAGAACTATAGGCGTGTGCTACCACGCCCGGCTAATTTTTTTTTTATTTATTGTAGAGATGAGGTCTCACCAAGTTGCCCAGGCTGTTCTTGAATCCGTGGGCTCAGGCATTCCCCTCACCTTGGCCTCCTGAAATACTGGGATTACAGGCTTGAGCGACTGCGCCCGGCCTGTTTAATACTTTTTCTACTGAACATGTGTGTCTTCCTTACCAGACCCTAACCTCCCTAAGTCAGTGACTGTGTCTCCCATCACCTCGGGCATCTCCGGGGTTCCCAGCTCAGAGCCAGGCCTGTGGGAGGCTGCAGTGCACCTGCTGTCAACCAGAAGGCCGGTGCCCAGATCTGCACTCTCATTCGGGCAGATTCTGTGGGGCAGAGCCACCCCCTCACCTAGTCTCCTCACACCACGAGCTGGCTGTGCTCTTCAGGACAGATCATGGCATCGGCAGCGGAGGCTTCTCAGCCACCTACCTGGCCTTCAACACCACAGAGAGTAGGTGTCCCTGGACAAGTGGGTGTGGGCAGGAGAGATGCCTCCGAGGGGGTCAGAGAAGAGCTCTGGATCCTGGTCAGGGTGCTGTGAGGGCAGTGGGATTGTCGGCATGTCCCAGGGCACTGCCACACCCCTTGTGCCCACAGACCCCTGTGGGCCCAGAGAATTATTCTGCCAGGATGGAGGGTGCAAAGGCCTGCAGTGGATGTGTGACATGTGGAGACAGTGCACAGAAGGCAGCGATGGCAACTGCAGCAGCCCCTTGTTCCCACCCTCAGGTGAGAAGCCTGCTTCTGGGCACCCTGAACAGGGCCTGGCGGGCCTCAGCAGGCCGGTGCCCGCTCATAGAAACCCTGCCGCCACATTTCATGACATCACATCCCACCCTATCCTCCCTGCTTGGGGGCAGGGGCCACCTGTGCCACACTATCCTGACTCTAGGCCCGCTTCATAGAGTCCTGGGGGAACCCTCAGCTGGCGGTGGCAGTGGTACTTAGTGTTACCCCAAGGGAAATGGAAATCTTGGAATCAGTAAGTAGGACTTCAAGGACCATTCCCCCCATTTCCCAGAGAGTCCCCCTCTGCAGCCCACCACAGAGGTGAAGATTTGATCTCACACAGAGCAGGGGAATTTCTCCCCTTGTCAACTCCTTGGATTCTCACAACCCCACCTGACCCCTGCAGAAACAAGGACCCAGAGCGAGTCCTTAGATGATGAGGTGACTTGCCCTAGGCCACACAGCCTGTGAGTGGTGTCCACAGTGACCTTCCCCTCCTCCCTCTTCAGAGCTGGCCTGTGAGCCTGTCCAGGTGGAGATGTGCATCGGCCTGAGCTACAACACCACAGCCTTCCCTAACATCTGGGTAGGCATGGCCACCCAGGAGGAGGTGGCAGAAGTGCTCAGCGGTTACAAGGTGCTCCGGGCAGAGAGACAGAGGGAGGCCCGGGACAGGGAGGGACCCCGGGGAGCCAGGTTCCTGAGAGCTGGTCTCCTTCCACAGAGCCTGACAAGTCTGCCCTGCTACCAGAATTTCCGGAGGCTCCTTTGCGGGCTGCTTGTGCCCCGCTGCACCCTGCTAGGCAGTGTCCTTCCTCCTTGCCGCTCTGTCTGCCAGGAGGCAGAGCACCAGTGCCAATCCGGCCTGGCACTACTGGGCACCCCCTGGCCCTTCAACTGCAACAGGCTGCCTGAGGCAGCTGGCCTGGAAGCTTGTGCCCAGCCCTGACCTTGAAGCCGGCCCCTGCCCTCTGCCTGCCCATCCTCCTTAGCCTATCAGGGTGGGCAGACAGGGGAACAAAGGAAGGGGGGGTCCCACAGGGACTCTGCCTATCTTCTCTGGGGCCTCCCAGGGAGGGGGAGGAGGAGTCCCCAGCCGGGGCTAGTGAGACCCTCCCTGCTTCTTCCCTGTCCCCTTACTTGCCCCAGCTGCCCCAGCTGCTGACCTGGCCCCACCCTGTGCCACTGGACAATCTAGACTGCCTCCCATCCAAGCCTCTGACCCAGATTCCTCCTCTTCCGCCTTTCCCCTTTCCATCTGCTTTTTCAGGTTCTCTATTACCTGCCTTCTGGCTTTTTCATTTATTCAACAAAAATGCACCGAGTGCCTACTCCCGTGGCGGGCCCCGGGCCCTGCGGAGCAAGTGGGCTGTCTGCCTCTAGAACGTGCCGCTCTCAGTTCTCGGGTGATGTTTCTCCCCGGACTGGGGTCTGGTCCTTGGTCTCTCCTCTGCACGCCCCTCCCCTGGCTCCTGGGAACAGGAGATGCCCTGAGAGTCTGCCTCTCATGGTCCTGCCTCTCTGCGCCCGGCTCAAGACTCTCCCCGCCTCCTTTCTCCCCCGAAACTTTGGCCGGCCGCCGGGCGACACCACGAGTTATTTCCCAGCTATTTCCCGGTCCGAGCTCTTGGCCCCTGAACAGCTGGTTTCCTCTTGGAGTCTGGGAGGAGCAGAGCGGAGCCGGCAGGGAGCGAACCAGGACCCGGGGACGGCGAGCGCAGGGGGCGCCTGGCTGGGGAGAAGCGCAGGGGCGCGAGCACGGCCACCCGAGGGTCCGGAGTAGCGAGCGCCCCGAAGGAGGCCACCGGGGAGCCGGGAGGGGGGTGAGTCTGGCGGAGGGGGAAACGCGGACGGGGAGGGGCCGGCGGGAACGCCGGGACGCGGGCCGGGCG